CCGGGGGCTCCAGGGCTTTTCTCCTCCTCGGGCGCGGAGCGGGCAGTGACGGGTTTCCCCTCTCGGCCCCGCAGGTGAAGGGAGCTCGAGGCCGCTGTCCATGCGGGTGGCCGCCGGGGCAGTGTCGCTGTGGATGCCCGCTCGGTGACGCGCCCCACTATGCCCGCGGCCACCGTCGACCACAGCCAAAGAATCTGCGAGGTCTGGGCTTGCAACTTGGACGAGGAGATGAAGAAAATCCGCCAGGTTATACGCAAGTATAACTACGTGGCTATGGTAAGCAGTGGCCCAGCTTTACCCGGCCTGTTGCCCCCAAAGCGCGGCCAACTTGTTTAAGTTTTAGGTGAATTTTCAGTCAAGTTTGAACTTGTTTCAGTGCCAACTCTTTTCCTTGAAAGAGCAGTGAGTTCCTAATGCTGGCTTAATAATAACAATTTGTAAGCATTAAAACCCAAATCTGTTATCTCTTTAACTTTTTACACTCTGTTGCTCAGTTATGAAATTATTCCATCCTTGAAATACATTTTAATATCAAAATGAGTTTCTTAAACCTTTTTGAAGGGCTTTTGTTAAAGTTCTCACTCTGTGCTTACAGGACACAGAATTTCCAGGTGTAGTTGCAAGGCCTATCGGAGAATTCAGGAGCAACGCAGACTATCAGTACCAATTGTTACGCTGCAACGTAGACCTGCTAAAAATAATTCAGCTAGGATTGACGTTTATGAACGAGCAAGGAGAATACCCTCCAGGAACTTCAACTTGGCAATTCAATTTTAAATTTAATTTAACGTAAGTGTTAAATCTTCTCACAATTAGATGCATGTTTCTGGTTTGCGTATGCAAAAATGCGTTTAAAAGTTTGTTATGGCTGTGCACTGTTGGGAATGCTTTACATGGAAAAAAATGTTTGGGAAACTTTTATTTTTTTTCATTTCTGTGGGGACTCTTTAGTTCATAGTTTAGTCAGAAATGCAAACAATTTCAACAGCTTTAAAGCAATGCAAGAGTTGGCTCTGCAGATACATATTTTAAAGTATGGAGTTTAAACTGTAAGGCATCTAAGCTTAGCTTAAATTGGCTGTTAGAAGAGTTACCTGTTATTTCTTGTGTATCTTAAAAAGGTGACTCCAACATTTGGAGAAAAAAAAGACTTTTAGACAGTTAAATAACTGTCTAAAACCAAAGTGCCCCAATGACCAACAAGTCTAAAGCATTTTCTTTAATATTATCCTTACTGAAAGACACACAACAATAACCTGATAATATAGGTAAAATGCTGTCAACTTTTTAATATGTAGCTGCTTTTTTAAATTTTCAAAGGAAGCTACTCTACTTCCTTTGTTTATTTTTTCTCTTATAGACTGAAAGGTATTTGCTGTATTCTACAGCATAATTATTGTAGGCTGATTTTTTAATCTTTTTTTTTCCACAGTTGTTTTGTGTGTTATGTGTAGTAAGGATTTTTTTGTGTATTATTTGTTTAATCAGGATGTCTAAATAAACAATAAAAAAGTGTTTTTTTTTTTTGGTCAGAATAATATGCTGACCTTTAGAACACAGCTTTATCAATGATAAATCTTTAAGTAGGAACGTAACTTTCCCAATGAGACTAGGCACTTAAGCGGTGTTGTAGTTGTGTCTTTAACAACTGTGCAGCTGATAAGGTTGCTAAGGCAGTATCTTTCTCTTATTTATTTATTTATTTCCTCCTCCCTAGAGTAAGCATAATCTGTCTGACAGGTTCTTATATGGTTCAGTCTGAGTATCAGTGCAAACATTTCTCAATTTAAGCCTTATGTGACTTTTTTGGTATTTTTTTTATGAGCTGAATGCTGGAAAAAGTCATATGCATGAGTTATGTGTATATCTTTCCACAAAGGAAGCTTAGAGGTCAAGCCTTTTTTTAATGCAGATATAAGCACACCTTTTCAAGGTCAACAGGACTGTTACAGTGAAGAGAAAAAAAAATTAAAAGCTGTTCTCTTATAGTTTTTCAGTTCTTCTAGACAAGCAGTGCTCTGGCTTGTCACAGATCAGCTTGGTCTGAAGAATGGTGTCGTTTTTTTTGTTTGAAGGACTTAATGAAAGAAAAGGAAGTGTGGGTTGCTTATTTTGGTATCCTTGACCCTACTTTTCTGTAAAAATGCTAGCTAGAAATTACCTGTTTCTCTAATAAATGAATAGACTAATTCTGCTAAGCACAGGGGAAAGGAGGAGGAATGGATGGTTTCCATACTGTGAACTGTGAAGGAGAGCCTCGGTTATGTTTTATTCATTTTGTGAGCTTCAAAGATCTATCTACTGTTGAGTAACTGAAACAAAGGTAGTTTTCCATAAATTTGTGCCATGTGCTTACATACTTAAGGAAGTTTAGTAAGGTAGGAACTAGGTATTCACTGAACTAACTTATTACTAGGTCATTGGGGAAGATTTTATTCAAAATGTAAGCTAGGTCAATACTGTTTACACAAGGATATTAACAGGAGGTTAATATCTTTAACAAGGATGGGGAAGTAACTTATTAAAAAAAAAAAAAAAAGGCAGGTTTTCATCTGTTTCTAAATTTCCTGTTGGGAAATGGCTCAGTGCCAAGTGCTCTCCTTCTAAAGCAAAACAGCTGCTGGCTCTTCCTAGAGGGTGTTTTTTTCTGTGAGTGTGTGGTTCCAGCCAGGTCTTGTCACAATGTATTTTGAAGAGCATAAATATGGCTCTAAACTAAATATCCACCTGATTATGAAGCAACAACCTAGAATTTTTTGTGTGTGTGTGAAATAGGCATGTTTGTTTTGGCTGAGTTCTTTAATGTGTCATGGAAATGGACAGGTGTTGGGAAGCTGATGCCTTAAAGCTGGAGAGCTAATGAGCAGCTGTGTGGGAGGGAGGAAAAAAAGATATAACACATCTCGAGAATGTATCTGCATGTCCTGGTGAATGATGGCTTGCTATTAAGCATAGAGGGATATAAGTCTACCACTGAATGTAATTTTCAAGTTCGATATATTGAGCTGTCTTGGCTGTTTTAATTTGAAGGATAGGGTGTTCTTTCACTAAAATTAAAACCTGCATGCTGAGGAGCCTTTGTAGGCCAGTATATTGTGGTCACTAATATGAATATTACCTTCTGGGTAAATCCACGTGTGCATTTACTTATTCGGTAATCATTCTATGTCTTTATTATGACAATAAGGATTAAATTTTATAATTGGAAAAAAATCCCTTTCTATTTAGTGACAGCATTTCTAACAAACCACAAAAATACTAGTGGTGAAGCTAATAAATACAGGGATAGAATGGATCAAACAATGCGTAGAGGAACCTATTAAGCTGTAGGTTCAAAATCTGGATGTCAAATTTCTCAAGTCGATGGTTTAGAGAGAAATTTTGGAGTTAGCTGAATATTAAGAATCAACTAGATGGGACACATGCTCAATTTCCCATCCTAGTGCGAAGGAAGTTTTGATGAGTGGGGTGTGTGTCTAAACATTTCTGTGAGGGAAATCATAGAAAAACAAAAAAATGAACAGAAAATACTGTCTACAGTACTGGAATCTGATTTGGAGTGGGCTGTTCCTAATTCTGGAATGTAACAGGTTTCCTAAATGCCTCTCAGATTTAGTATTTACTTTGTTACAGTGTAAGCAATAGATCTCTCTTGTTTAAATGTCTGTGTTCGTCCATTTATTTTTCTCTGTAAATTTCACAGAAGAGCCCTGCAAGGACACAGGATGGGGAGCAGGGAGCTAGTTTTTTATGAAGAAAGTAGGGATGGCGATGCAGGGAATGAGCAGAAGCTAATGAAGGTTAACAGTACGAAAAGTGGTTCTTTTTGTAATAAACAAGGAATGCAGTCAGGTTGCTCTTCCTCTATTGTAATAAAGCCTGTGGAATGAGTAGAGAGGGAAAAAAAAAAAAAAGTCTTACCAGCTTTGTAATCGCTAAGGTCTATAAACTATAAAAACTTATTTTCTTCCTTCTCTTTCAGAGAAGATATGTATGCCCAGGACTCAATTGAACTACTCACGACATCTGGCATCCAATTTAAAAAGCATGAGGAAGAAGGAATCGAGACACAGTACTTTGCAGAACTGCTTATGACATCAGGAGTTGTACTGTGTGAAGGAGTCAAGTGGCTTTCATTTCATAGGTAAATTCTCTACGTAAAGTATTTGAATTGCTCATTTTGACTCTCCTATAACTTGGATTTCACCCCTCATGTTTTAAGCGATATACACATCTGTAAAAATATATAGCACTTAGGTGATGAGCCTTAAAAAAGCCATTTCAATTGTAATAGCATTCTGTATTAGAATAATACAATATGCAGAGTGGTACTAGTATTTTATTTCTGGAGCTGGTTTCACTGAAGGGGTGAACCAGAAAAACATGAAATTCCTAAGCCAGCAGGTGGCATTGCATCTTTTCATACCACATGTGCAAGTAATAATAGAAGGACCAATAAAAGAAAACTGTTAATATTTTTTGAGCAAATACTCTTTGGCTCATGGGAGAGACTGCAGGCTTACCAGTGAATTGTTTTATAAAACACTTCAAATTTTGTTTTAAACTGTTTGGTAATCTGCATAGCTGCAAATTGTTCATCTTAAAAGGAGAGCCATGATGAAAGTATTAATTCAAGCCATAGGAGTGAATACATTTTACAATTCATTCCTTCACAGGAACTAATTTTCCAAATGGAGAAAGCAGAAATGAGGTCGAATCTCTGTGAAACTGTCAAGATACAAAATATCTTCCAGTGTTAGTAAGATTTGAATCATTATGTTCATGTGGTAGTTGTTGTATAGTCAACCAGATGCCAGAGATAATTTGTACTTTTTGCAAGTAGCAGTGGCTTTAAAGACTTATTGCTATGTAATGCCCTTATGTTGACATTCTGAATGCTGGCTGCTAAGCAAGTCAACAAAGTTGAAACAAATGCCTCAGCTGAGACCAGGGGTTTCATTACAGTTTTATTCTTGTTTATCCCGCTTGCTACATTTAGTAGTGGAAACTTGAGCTTACTAAATTAGAAGACGGAAATTAAAAAAAAAAAACACACACACATATACACACACACACACACACACACAAAAAAAAACCACATACACACAAAAAAGCAAACAAACAAAAAACCACAGAACTTGGCTGTCCTTAAGTAGTAAAGTCTTGGAGGAGTTGGGTGAGTATCGAGAAGTTCTTTGAAACTGGACTGGACCTTGAAGTCCAGTCTCTTGCAAAATTAATCTCTGACCTATTAGAAATATTTTCCAGTCACAAGCCATCTTTCAAAGAAATAAAATCATAAGAGGGCGATTTACTTTGGTACAATTGTGACTTAATCTGCATGCAACATATTGTTTTTATAGCAGCTGCAACTCTCAATATGACTTCAGAATAACCTTGCTCTGGTATCTTGCTGCCAGGGTAGAACCTTAGGAAAAGACCAGAAGAAAAGTTGTAACTTACACTTACCTACAGTAAAATAACTTGGATGAGTTAGGAGGATGGTGGGTGGAGGTTACTTATGTCAGTAACTGATACACCAGCCAAAGCTGTTGTGTTTTTATAGCATGTACCAAACATATTTCTTTAGATATGTTTTAATAACTTTCGGGGTCTAGTGTAAGCTATGCTAGTAAAAGAGGACACAAGTGAAAGAGTGCTATTTCTGCACTAGGGACTCTTTTTTAAAGCATAGGTTTGTTGGCTGAGTGTGATTCCTGACTGACATCATGCTAATAGAAATACAGTGCAACCTATGTGTCACTCCATTTTTACTCGTGCAGCTTGCATTAAGCTTTTGGGATAGCTATATTAAAGGTTGGTTGCATCTGTGTTAGGATGGATTTCAGTTGTAAATGAAAGTTTCTAAAAATGTTTTCAGGAATCCTCTTAAGATGACTGTTCCAGCAAATGATTAACAAATGCTGACTGTCTGCTGCACTTTGGGTATTGTTTGAATTCAGAGGCTGCATAAGTGATTAGAACTTGACAAGGCAAAATGATACTGAGCACAAAAGGTGGAGTTTGGCAGAACAGAGAAAGCTAACACCGAATGCAGAAAGCTTATTTAATGAGTATGGGTCAGAGAAGGTGTACCGCAAAGATCAGTAAACAGTTGTTTTTAAGAATATCATAGGCTCACTGTGGTCATGTTATGCCAATAGGCACTAGATCAGTGTGACACTCAGTTGAAAGTTTATATTTCATATACAGTCTCCCTGCAATAGTTCTTTGAATTCAGAAAAGGCTGTGCTGGAGAGTTGTAGTGGCAATAGTGTGATCTAGACTTATGGTTCCAGTTTGGAAGAATATACGGAGACCTTTACATGCCCTAAAGCCATAACTTATGGTTCCAGTTTGGAAGAATATATGGAGACCTTTACATGCCCTAAAGCATGGACGTGGAAAGACGTGGAAAATTGTGTTCATTGATGACTAACTTTCAATGAAATAAATGCATTAGTAAAACTGTGTTTGGAAAGAAAATACTAAGCTTGCTCATCTGTTTTTAGTTTAGATGATGTACTCTTGTAGTTCTCACCAAACTCAGCAGTATTGAGACGCTTCACGTCCTGCTTCAGGGTTTCCTTTTAGAGCGACAGTATCTTAACTGTGGTTTTAAATTCTTGGTGCTTTTCATTACTCATTAACTAGATTTTGAAATATTATTCTGACAGATTAGTGGTCTACTGCTTCTGACCATAGCTGGTCTCTGGAAAGTTTTTGTTAATCCCTCTTCTCTCTCTATGTTGTTCAATTGTTTCTGGTTTCTCAAAAATTTGTGGATCTCCTTGGAAGCGAAGTCAAGGAGAATGCATTTTTCTTCAGGAGCAAGGCTTTTGTTTTGTTTCATTTCTATTCTTCACTTTCCTGGAACTCTTGCACAGTTTGTTTTCTAGGCTGTTAACTTCTCACCTTGTCCGTAGGCTTTTTCTTTTATTATTCTGTTTGATGTAGCTGCATTGGCATCCTGACCTACTGGGGGGATGTCTGTGGGCCAGCATATCTGCCAAGCACAAGTAAAGGGCCTTTTGCATTCTCACCAATTCTTATATTTACTAAAATGTCATAAAAGAGGCCATTAAATCATTTATCAGTACTAAGATTTATTTTAGTTGATAAGGGAGGCAACTCAAATCAGGAGGAGAGTGCTCTGAGTTGCTAATTCTTGCCGCAGTTAAGAAAACTGCAGTCCAAGCAGAAGAGCTCAGATGCAGGTGGAGGTTCAGCTGACTGGTCTGCTCCTTGGTTTGCCTTGGGAGGTAGGTTGTGCAGACATGCCTCTTAACCTTAAATATCTTTGGGAAGCTGGAAATTTCCAAGATATGGCATTTTAATGATCACTTGTGTCTAACTAGTTTCTGTAGAAGTTAATCTCTTGGCCCACTTCTCTCTGAATATAGAACCGGTTGTAAAATGGAGTAAGTGGAGCCTTTTCAGCATGCCAGGTTTTATTTCAGAGACAACTTGTACTTGAATATCAAGTTTGTAGTTAATTAGCTATCTGAATTCTTCTTGGGTAATAGGGGAAAGAAATGCAGACTCTTTTGGTCGTTTCCATGGTCCTGTTGCCTACAGCTGTCCAAACTCCTTGAAAAAACCCTGGCTTGTAAGTGTGCTGTGTAGTGATTATATTAGAAGAGTGAAAGGTTTTTAGGGAAAGGAAGCCTGTGTGCTGTGGAGTATAAACCAACCACTAATTGCCTGTTAGAGGATTAGAGGAAAACTCCTCTAATGAGCTGGCAATTACACAGTTGCTCACTATGGACTTTTACCCCTCTGCTAGTGTCAGCAGTGGCCAATCAAAAAATTTGTGAACTAGAACTACTTTCAAATTTAGTCTTGAATTAGAGTGGCTGTTCTTATGTTTCTGTAAGCTTAGATGATTGGCACTTGTTAATCACCATAAGTATAGTAAAAAGATTATATAAATGTCTTGATACTGTACTGTGATTAATAAGGTCTGTTATGCAAATAATGGGACTAAGTGCAAACAGCTGGAATTTAAGGAATGCAAGAGATTTTTTTGAGCTGACCAACACTAACTCATGATCAAGATCCAGTTATCTGAGTGGATGCTGTTACACAGTGGAGGGATAATTGTCTGCTGAAGAATCCCCCTCTTCAGAGAGCCTCTTCTTTTTTTCTATATGAGGATCTTGGTATGAACTAATTTGCCATAAGGTCCAGAGGAAAAAAAATATGCAGTTCTTCATCACATTTGCAAATTAATGATAACCTGCTGCCCCTCAATGCAAAGAGTAAATGAATCTTTTGAATTCTCTATTCTCACAGTGTTTCCTCCTTAATAGGAAGGAAACATCAAATTGGAAGTGATACAACTTTTATGTATGAGCCCTGAGGATGGCAAGTGTTGCACATTCGGTGAATTCATAAGCATTGTGTCTAATCTCCAGATTAATCCTTAAACTTGAGTATTTTTTGTTTGTTTGATTCCGTGTCTTTCTGAGCAACCTGGTTTGCTAAAGATGGGAGAGGAACATTAGTATGTGCGTGTGTTTTGTTTTTATTTTGTTGTTTTTGGGGTGGATTTTGATTGGTTTGATATTTCTGCCTAAGAGGGCTTTATTGCTGATAAAGATATTTTTTTCTTAGGTTCTCTGTTAAAGTTAACCTCTCAAGTTATTGTTTTGCCAAGTATGCTATAAGTTTTCACACTGTAAGTCTCAGCAGAAATCCTCTGTAGCTTTTGATTCTTCTGCTTCCTGGCCAGTAGCTGCTGCTGTGGAGCTTGGAGCACTGCCAGAACAGCCTCAAAGCAGCAAGTGCATTGCTGGCTCTGTGCAGCTTGAAATCCCCATCAGAGTACCCCCTTAGGAAGCCCTTGAGAGCTCTAGTAGCCTCCGCCTTTCCTGTGCCTTGTATTAATGGACTCTTTAGGAAACAATCCATTCAGTTTTGCTGTGCTGAAGATTTTTT